TCCAGGGCTCTCGCACGGCCTGGGGCCTGGACCGAGCCTGGGCCTGGTCGGTGGAAGCTGTGGGGATATAAACTGGGGTGATCCCGTAGTCCCCGGTGTGCTGAGTGAATGTGTACGTATATTTATGTAAAAGCCACCCGGCTGAGCCATGGCCTGGAGCTGCTAGAGTCTGTGGTGCGGTTACGTCCAGCTTGATGGCTCCTCGTTTGTGCTGAAAGCACGACAGCCCCACGGGCAGTCGCGGTGACCTGGTGAAGAGCCGTCCTGCTGGCTGAGCTGCGGTCAGGCCACGATGGGGAACGGTGTTCTGGCAAGCTCCCCCAGCCAGATGTCACCTTCCCAGGAGTCGGCGTGAAGTCAATGTAAATTGGCCAGAAATGCTGCTCTGCACCCGGAGCTGATCCAGATCAGGCTTGCACATCCGAGTGGTTCAGTAGTGAGCAGAGCTGGTGTTTGTGGCCATGGAAGTCATGGTCAGCCGGAGTTAAGCATGTGGATTTCTCTGCTCCTAGGGATAATACCATGTCCCACAAAGGCTGTTAAGTCACTGGCAACCACCTGGCTGCTGCTCACCTTTCTCGGGGCTCCCCCCGCTGTCAGGTGAAAGCTGACTGTAGTTGTTGGGCTCCTGACATTTGGTTTATGAGCCTCATCGTTAATTGTCCTACCTCTCTGCTGTGTCCCCTTGCTCTGGATGGCTGGTTGTGCCTTTGGGGTGCATTTATGTTCCCTGTTTCTGTTCCTGCCTGCTGTAGTCCTAGACCCTGTCCTCCCTGCCTACGTCCTGAGCCGCATTCCTGATTATTGATGCTCTCCTGCCTCTATAGTCCTAGTTGCAGGATCCAGTCTTTTGTTTCCTTGTTTCCTGGTTGAAATCAGCTGCTTCTGCCCTTGTTTCAACTGTCATAGCATCTTGTTCCAGGCTATGCTTTGCATTACAGGCTCCCTGATTTCAAAGCCCTCAGGCCAACTTCTGACTTCACTCCTTTTGCCTTGCCCATTGGATTTGTGGATCTTTTTGTACCTCGATTGGCACTGACTTCTGCTTTTTAATGTTATTCCAGCGCTACTGTTGCCTTGTCTATACCTGACAGATGCTTTCCAGTCTCAGCTGAGACGCCCTGAAGGGATTCATAAGTGCGCTGAGAAGAGAGATGCCTCAGGCTGCGGTCAGACATGGCTGCTGACCCTCAAGAAAAGCAGATTGCTCCTTGCTGTGCGCTGTGGTGCCCTCTCAGGAGAGAATGACACCCCCTCAGATCTGCTAGTGGAACAGACCGTTGCTTTCTAATCCTTTTCTGTTGCGGTGATCCGTGTTAAAAATGTCTAGTCTTCAGTCTTATTGCTAACCTGGATCACTGCAACAGAACCAGAACCAGACTGCGCATAAAATTACCAGAACCAGAACCAGACTGCAAACAAAATTACATTTTTACCAGGGCTGCTGCACTCACTGGGCAGAGGGGAGCTCCCTCTTTTGCTTGAGAAGGAATGTGAACATAACACCAGGGAAGAAAAATATTTCAGCCATTTTGCTAGGAGTTATTTAGGGTATGTTGCCTGGATGCTCTTTCTGTTAGAACCATTCAAGTTTGCAAGGAATAATTAAATATTCATTTTGAGAGATGGGAGAATGAGCACTGCTCTTTAGTCTTCTGGTCTGAGCACTCACATGGAGGGGGAGGAACCAAGATTCCAGTCTTAGCTTCACTGAATACTTAATTTAATGTATTTAAATGTTAATTGGAGTCCTGCTGAGTGCCCTGGGCATTAAGCTACAGAAGTATTGCTCATTCTTGTCTTTTTCTTTAGCCCAATTAACATTTAATAAGTTCATGCAAATTAGAACCACCCTACAGGAACGCTGGAGATTCACCTTCCCTGCGGTATTCTCCAACATGCTGGTTATTCACGTGAGGTGAGGTACTTGCAGGTTCAAGCCTTCCCATGGAGAATGTCATGGATTTGAAACAAAGTCCCCCAAATTTAGGATGAGTGCTCTGATCATTGAGTTGGTAGCTGGGGAAAAGACGCCTTGTGTCACATATTGCCCAGGTCGGTAGATGATCCCTTCTGGATCAGGCCTGGTGGGGGAGAGGTGGACAGATGTCTGGTGAATCCTGCCAAGGCTTAAACACGAGTTAGGATTGAGGTTGCTCATCACCGTCTAGACTTGGCTGTGTAGTACCGGGGCCCTCGTGTGTTGCTAGCGTAGGTGGTAGCTGAGTCCAGAGAAACGAAAATCTGGACTTCAGCTCCTGAACTCCCTTTGTGGCTGTAGTCATAAACAAAACATACTGTCAGGCTTACCTTTAAATGAAAACCTCTCACTGTTTTGTTTGGCGTTTCTTTTTGTCGACACTACTAGAAAGCCCTGTGTGAATACTCAAACTGCTTACTGCTCTTACCTCCCAGTAACATTGCAATGAGACGAGATGTCCAAGAGGGCCAGGCTCGGTGTTTATCTCGCCTAGGAAGGCACAAGGAGGCTCTGGATATTGCAGAAAAAATGGTAAATAATGCAATCTTTCTTTTAGGCTTTGAACATGAAAATATTGCCAGTAGTTCTTTTATATGGACCATTTTTTGGAAAAATAATCTTCAAGTGTATAATCCTTCAGGATGTTCAGTCCTCAGAGTATTTGGTAAACAGAGGGTAACTGTCACTGCAGATATAATCACTCTTTAGAAATCAGAACACCCTGTACCACAATGAGCTCCCTGTGCAGGGAGGCTGGTAGTCCTGGAAGGGACTAAATATCATGCTCTGCCAGGCAGAATTAATGTAATGTAATAGGAATTATAAAAAAGGGGATAAATGAGTGCTTAAATCTTTCCACTGTAAAAGTGACGGTTCAAAACTCCCTTTTATTTCCGTATACTTGCTGCCAAACTGCCACCAAGAAGAGTAGCTAACCAGAAATTGAGTTTTTCCCATAAAGGAAAAAGTTCATAGGCTCTGAAGTCTGCTAGAATTTTACTGCTGCTGTTTATTTTATATAAAAGGTGTTTATGCTACAAAGAAGGGCAGCTGTATAAAACTCTGAAGGCAAATAAACAAATGACAACATTTGGGGCCTTCTTCCCTTTCAAACTGGGACAAGGCAGTTAGAGGGAATGCTGTCAGCTTGATTGTGCATTATGTGTCACGTTGTATCATTTAAAAGTAAGAGCACAGTTTAGTACAATTTTAAAATTACCTTTAGTGATATTTGTATGTTATTATTCAGGGAGACATTTTCTTAGGCTCTGAAGGATGATTCTGTTCTACTCCTGTTTTTCATCTATTATCTTTTGTTTCTAGAGAAACGGCGCTACTAACACAGATCACTTAACAACGGTTCTCAACCTGCAGTTTGCCATTTACCAGGGTCTAGAAAATGTAGAAAAAAAGATCACGTGTCTGCAGCAACTGATCTGCTTACATCCTTTCAGCCCTTGGTACTGGAAGTTACTTGCTGAAGCTTATATGAGCCTTTTACAAAATTTGTCTCCGTTAGTCATTCCAGCAACAAATCTAAATCAGTCTGAAGAGGTTAGTGTAAGCGATAGTAGTTTCAAAACATCAACTGGAAGAGAGATTAATTTGCAGCCTCACAGATCAGACGGCCAGGAAGAAGGCCCTTGGTCCAGCCTTGCTATAGAAACAAAGAGGGAGAATGCAGTGACTTGTAGGAGCAGCCAAGCTGTAAAAGAATTCCTCTGCACTTCTGAAGAACCGGGAAGGATGGACGAAGGGAAACACGCAGCCTCCGAGTCCTGGGAGCAGAACACGTTGAAGAAAGTTGGAATAAAGGCATGTGCCTCGTTTATTAGAGCAAGGTAACTAAACGTATTCTTAGAATAACGTTAACTTCTCCCTGTCGAGAGATTTAAAGCATGTTTTTCCCAGCCTTAATATTTTCAGTTTACATTTTCAATTTAAATGTTTGTTTCAGCATTGGCAACGCTAACTTACAAGCACCCTGCTATTGCTTCAGATCTGAAAAACAAAATCCACTAGCATGGTAGCTGTGAACAACCTGAATCTGAGTGGAAAGAGTAAACCAGTGTCATGCACTGTTGAGAAGAAAAGCGGTTTTTAATGACCTTATTATATGAATCTTTTCAAGTAATTATATACAACAGCCTGTTAAAGCATGGCTGTTTCCTGGTTTGGTATTAAAGATGCAGCAGCAGAAGTGCCCCAAAGGGAAGGCCAGCCAGTCTTCCTTCTGCAAGTGCCACCTGTCTTATTTGCTTGAAGCCTCATGCTTGAGCGAAAATGTATTTTATAATAATACCCCAATCTGCATAATGGATGAGGTTGAAAAATGAACTCTGTGACAGCTGATTGACAGGGCTGCATTAAAATGCTCTTTCCTTTTCTTCCCTCTCTTCCTAAAACTCTTGCACACAACAAAAATCCCCAAAACATAATCTTTCAAAGAGATAATTGGGAACTGTTTTTGTTAAAATAGTCTTGGATCTTTTTCCCCCCTCTTGCCTCTCAATAATGTATGAGTCACCAAACGTATTTAAAGCCATTTTATGAATTTCCAGAAATGTTTACAGAGAACACTTTATAACTGCCCTCTTAGGGCAAGATTCAAGAAATGTAAAAAAAGATATAGTAGCTTTTAACTGTACTCAGACTAAGAGACAGCGACTGTAGTTGCTACTTGGGAGAATTTAATAGATTTAGTACTGATATTGAATATTAAAGCTACCTTTGTATTAAAATAATTTATGTTGCTTGTTTCGGTGTGTATCGTTCAGCATAGAGACAATTATAAATTATGGGATTTCCTTGCTTGGCTGCACAGTTTCACAAAGTGTTATTGTGGTTTATATTTGCAGATACACTTGTCCAGGGTAAGCTTTTCCCCTGCCCAGGGCTTACGCATCAAATAGGTTGTCTAATATTTTCAGGTGTGTTGGATTTTAAGTGAGATGTGGATGTTGCATAAACATACATGCAGGGCAAATTGCACCTGGAAAAGGGATGTTAGTATTGCTTTTTGTAGGAAATACGGTTCTGTGTTAAACCATCATGAATAATTGACTCTTCTGGTTTTGTCAACAAAAAAAACATTGGAGACATGGTTTTGTTTCATTCTCATTCTTTCTTACGTTATGTTGATGCAAATTTTGAACAAAAACTCTTTACAAATTAAAAATACTTTCCATTTTTACTTTGAATTTCCCAGTCAAAACGTTACTGAATTTAGAAATGGTTTGTTTGGCTCAGACTTGTAAATTTCGATGTTTATAATGCTCAAATGAAAACTTTCATCTAAGATCTTAAGTCTTCTCTTCATAAAAATATACAACTTTATTACAACACGTGCTTCATTTAACTTTGGTAAATGTGATTAAAAAAGTTGGTTTTGTTCGTTATGCATAAAGCTTGAATTAAACATCGTTTCAGTAGTGATACTACTAAGTCCCAGTGGTCCCTTGATTGAGTATACTTAGATATTTCCTCTGCTGACATGTTTTACAGTCCTTACGTGAGGAAGACTCTGGAAACTGCCACTGCTCTTTCTGGTCGAGCAGTTGGTGATGGGGTCCCTCCGTGACGTGAAGCCACATTGTGAGCACAGCATCTAACCTTCACCAAATTATGGTGGTGACTTCTGGGGCACTGCCTTGAACCTAAAACTGTGATGAAAGCTTTTAGAAAATATTCCAGGGTTGGCCTGTATGGGGAGGATGTTTGATATTTGTAGCTTTTCAGGTTACAAAGATAATCACTGCCATAGGCAAAAATGTGCTGCTGGCTTGTTAGGCCTTAAGAAGGATGTGGGACACCTGATGTACTGCAGTTAATGCTAGCAGATCTGAGCTTCGCTTTTGAATTGTGTGATGAATACACGGGGAGAAAAATGTTTGTGCAGAGCAACCAGAGATATTTGGCATGTTGTTTTTCAAAAATACTTCTCAGTACTTCTCTCATAGCACAGATATACTGTACCCATAGTAGATTGATACGGATGTATTCATTTCTTTGCAGTTTTTGCAGTTGGCAAAAGTCAGGAAGAAGAGGTGGTTTTAAAGTATTGTATTTTGTTTGGGTTGAGGTTTGCTGACTTACCCTTTTGCCAGCTGTGCCTTTTTTTAGCTGCCTTTTTCATTTCAGGCTTTTACTTCAGCTTACCCAGTTGCAACAGTCATCCTTTGTGCTAGAGAGTAACATAAAAGGTCAAAAAGAAATTGATGACAAAGTGGCACGACTTGGTTTCAATGGAAACTCCTTGCTGTTGATGACCAAGGTAAGGGGATGTTTTCATTGTGTGCAAGTTCTCAGCTACACGTAGGCTGGTTGAGGTACCCGAGCCAGTTCAGGCACAAAGTCCTGTAAGTGTGACACTCCCCTGAGCTAATTAGCTGTGCCAGGAAGCAAGGTAAATTAGCTGGGGCGGGTTGCCCTGGTAGTGTGTTATCTGGAACTGACAGTGATACCTATATAGTGCTGGCTTGTGTCATGCACGTGTATCTCTGTTCTGCTGAGATTCTCCTTTCGGGAATGTTCAGGGTTGTTAAGTTTCTCATTGGACTTGTATTTGCAGAAGCATCATCACTGTGCGTTTCCTGGGATGCAAATTTTGTCTCAGGAATTTTAGATGCCACAAAGTGATTCACAAGTACGAAATGGAAGTGGAGATTACTTTGATGGCTACAGCAGTATTAAACACTTCCAGAAAAGATATTAACCATTTTCAGAAAAAGCCAGAGATCCTTTTACATGATTTCTTCGTTCTGTTTGATGCACTGGGTTCTAGTTTTAAAGAAGTACAAGGGAGGAGAGTAACATTGCATGACTTTATTCATAGAGATTAAACATTTTTAGTGCTATTTATAGAGTTTCTGACTTTTGTCTTAAGGAACAAAAGGAAGCCAGCGAGATTCTAACTTTGCTGTCAGTATTACAGCTTTAAGTTAGTGAAAGCCAAGCCATTGCCGGGTTGACAGGCAGTCTTGTGGGATTTCACCCGTAAGAGGGCAGTAGCATGCAGATTATCTCAGGTTTTGAAAAGGCTGGGAAAAGAAACTTCTCTCCTTGCTTCCCGTGGTCCGACACTCCCCAGGAAGAGATCAGAGTGTTGGTGCTGTTGCAAGGTGAGCATTGAACGCAGAGTTGGCATTGAGATTTCCGCTGCTACTCAGAGAGTAAAAATCCCCCGTACAAGTGTAGCCAGAAGCTGGCGGGGTTGTTCAGCTGTGAAGCTTGGGCTCTCAGTTCTCTGTGCTTATTGCAGAATGCAACAGACAGACAACTTGATCATGACTTCGAAAGTTCTCCTGGACAGCGTGTGGTTCATGTGTCAAAGGCTTTTCTTGTAAAGATCTGTTATTAATGTCATATTTGCTGTTTTCTCTGCAAGTTATTTTCTTGTTTCCCATCTTTCTTACTCTGTTTGCAGGTTATGGGGCAGGACCTTATACCAGAAAAACTAAAAGAGGAATTTCAGGGTGAGGTAAAATGCATAGGCCCTTCAGCTCTGTCGTCATTGGTAACTGCATCAGCCACAGAATTTGAAATCAAATGGTTTGGTAATCTCCAAGATGATTTATGACTCTTTGACAGACAATTCTATTCAGATATATATCTCCCACCTTTGGTAACTTAAAGGTTTTGTTGTATTTATTCTCATATCTTCAAAAGATTATGGAATGATATATGCAATAAAGTTCATATTACATTTTTTAAGAATTCTTATTGTATATCTTTTAAGAATATATATAAATCTCTGCATTTAAACTCTTAACTTCTCGTCATTTTCTTTGTTCACTGATTTGTTTGTATTTAAAATAATAAGGAATCCAGTATAAAATAGAGCTTTCAGTTCAGCTTTCAGAGGTAGCTTTCCATCCTAAACCTCACCGTATTGTGCTCAAAATGCCTGTGATTTTTTGGGGGCCTGCAACGCTGGTGGGGTGGAAGGCTTCCTTTACGATGTCCAGTTTGGAAGTTTCTTGGTATCAAATTCTATGTTATTGCATTTAGAGCCATGGAATTAGCCATTTTCTTAATTCATTTTGTTAATATTTCTTGGTTAATTGACATTATAGTGGTTTCCTGTTCAGAGCCGGATAGCTAGAAATCTTAAATGTATTTTATGCTGAGAAATTGTCAATAATTCTATATGTTTTAGAAAAAAAAATTCTAAATGGTAAATATTTTAACTTAGAACTGGAAGGAGATTTTCTTTCTTCAAAGCTAAGTGTTTTTTGCAGGCGTAGAAGTAGCTATAGTCTTGTCTTCACTGTGCTTAGACGAGGGAGGAGAAAAACCGTCAACGTTGTTTGTATATACTGAAGAGCATTTAGTCAGATCATATCCTTTTTAAAGCCCTGCAAGGAAGAAGGTCTTTGCTGTGAAAACTGGCAATGTTGTTTTGTGCATCATACAGCTCCTTATGTTATGCTTTCAGTTGATAATGACACCACTTTACTTCACTTTCTGAAGCATCGGTGTTACGTGCTTTGGGCTTCCACAGAAAAAGGCAGAGATTATCCTGTAGTTTCTTTGGCTTGAAATAATTTACATTTGAGGCAAACAAGGTGTGCTCTTCCTCCATCTTCTCTTAAACTGTGAGACTTCAATTCTTTGTAGCTTTTTGTAAAAGTGTTCTTTAATGGATATAGTTTAAAACCAGAAATCTCTCAGGCATAATTTGCTGTGACTTTTCCTCATGTTTTCCTGTGTTTTCTTTCTGAAGTACTAAAGAGTGCTGAAACTTTAAACAGCTCACAATTGAATGGTAATTCACCATATGTGAACACACTTTGTCTCTGCTACTTTTAGGTGAATTTTAAAGCTTTAAGATACTTTTAGGGAACCTGTCAGTAATCCTTGGTGTGGTATAGCCCTCTGCTAAGTCAACTGTGAAACCTCCAGAAAAATGGAATATCGCTTTCAGCCATGTCAAATTATCTTTGATAGTTTGGTGACTTAATGCGCTTAAACCACATCCTAGTCAGCTTGTTATGAAAGATGATGACTTGGCAAGTATACTTGAGTAAGCGTTAATGCACTCATAATGTATTACAGAATATTTGGTTTACTCATGTGTGTGCTTTGCTAGGTGGAAGTTTTTTGTGTATGTGTGTAGAGCTCTATATTCAGATGGCAGTGAAGCCTGCCTGAAGGGCTGGAGATGCTTTTAAGACTAACTGGTGTCATAAGTTTTCATTAGAGACTGTCCAGAATGTGCTGTAAATTAATTACGATGTTGGCATCAACAGAGGATGTCTTGGAGCAAAAACATAGCAAACGTGGAAAGCTTAATGCCAAATATGTCAGCAAAAAACTGGAACAGGGACTTCTCCTGGTTTCCCCTTAAACTTAAGGTCGTGAGTAGCTGCATAAAAAGTCTATAATTATTTTTTTTTTTTTGCCTCAGCTCTCGAGTAGGTTCAGTGGTTAGGACACCGGAATACAGCTTTTGTGGAACCAGGTCTGTATAGATATTTAATGGGAACTCGCCAAATGATTTGGCTCCACAGTTCAGAAAGTGGAAATAGCTTTGGACCTGTTTTAGCAGCAAATTAAATACTTGCCAAAAGTTGTCATTTTGTGACTGAGATGTCCAAAATACACAGCGGCTGGCCAAGGTGATTTGGAAACTTCTTGGTGTGCGCGCAGATCGTTTGACTTGAGGTTGTCTTGTAGACTGGCAACACAACAATTCACTCCCCACTGGCTCCGGGAGTGGAAGGCAAGTGGCAGTTCTTAAGAACAGGCAGTATTTTCTCAAACATAACAATAAAGCAAAAATGTTGTTTTTAACTACTGCAAAGAAAACGATATGAATGTTGTTCTGAATGTGTCGCATAGTTACTGTTCCAAATAACCAGTGTTTATTGCACTGGGGCTATGAAATATTCCTTTGTCCCACTTGTGCCTGGCTCTCTCTCAGCTACTTCAATTCCTCCTTTTTTGGCCTGCTCCTTGCTTTTTTGGCATGCCACTTCGAACTCCAGTGTTCGGTTTCTGCTCATATCTCCCGAGGGGCTTTGCATTTCCGTCTTGCATTTGAATGCCTCAGCGTTGCTTCTACGTTCTGTGTAATTCTACATCTGCCTGTAATGGATTTCTTCATGTTTTGGCTCTTACGATATTATTATTGGTATTAGTACATGCACCAGTACTCCACGCTGAGTTGAATAGCAAATTTTAGTATTGTAAACTGCAAGTGAGAATCCATTAACAGTTACTAAGGTTTGATTTTGTTATTTTAACACTTGCTCATGTTACAGGTGCCTTGGGAAGGATCCTCTGACCCTGGTTCTGATGCTTCTGAAATGATTGCTGTGCACAAACACAATCTAATTGCGTGTCTTGCAGGGACATCTTGCACTAGATCAGGTTGCTCAAAGCCCCGTCCAACCTGACCTTGAATGTTTTCTTGAACGTTTTCGTTGAGCGCCAAAAAGGACTGTCGTGGTTTAACCCCAGCCGGCAACTAAGCCCCACACAGCCACTCGCTCACTCCCCCCACAGTGGGATGGGG